TAGGACTTAGATAAGGGACTATGTGAATGAGAAAGAACTGCTTGGTGCTGTATACGCGGGGCTTATTCGCGCCTGCAAGGGGATCATTATACCTGGGTTCCTTGGACGTGCCTCGAGTACCATCTTGAACAATTTTCTCTCAATGTCGGGAGTTTTGCGGCTGTAAAATACCAAGTGCCTATCAATGTAGTTTCATAAACATTTAATACAATGATTCACGTATTGATAAAACAGGTTAAACTGATCAATTATCAATATCTAATCTGTTGTGTGTGTTGGTACCTTTCAGTGCCTTTGAGAAGCAGTAGATGTGGTGGTACCCATGGGACTATCTCCTTCCCTTTAGCGGATGGTTCTCGATCAACTGGTGGTACTAAAATTAATATAAAAAGTGTATATTGCCAGAAGACTTTTATTTCAATTTATACGAAGGATTATGATAGCATGATCGTCGGTCAAACCTTGAATATTTTGAGGTGCATCGTCTTTCTTCAAGGACGGCATCTTCTTTGAGATTTGTTGCTCAATGGCGACAATTTGGCTGTCAATGATTAAATCCCAATTAATTCATTATTAAAAATATATAAAATTAAAAGAGATCATCTCTTTCTTTCACAGTCGTACCTGTGAATGGCCGTGACGCTTGCCGTCGCTTCCTTGACACATGCTCGTAGTTTTTTTGCTCTACGGCTGAAATGAAAGATAAAATATTCGATAAAGGGTGATAACTTCTGAATAGATAAGTTTTTGTTCAGCATGGACTCTTTGTTACTTTCCTTTTGCCAGCGCGTCTTATTATTTCTGATATACAACGAGAAATCTCCCAAATACATTTATTTGCAAATTTGCTTGCCCACAAAACTCACACAGGCCACACAGGCATCGTCCAATGATCTACACTGGAGAGCCTCCTCGCCGCTCTCTTAGTCGAGTACTTTGTAACATCAATGTCTCATTTGCTGGTTGRTCTCTTAACTTACCATTTGATTATTACAACCATGATGAAGACCAGCAAAAAAAGACCAGGAAGAACACACGCCGCCAAAAGACTGCTGTCAACGGGCTGTCTTGTCACGACCGCCAATGCAGTTGTTCGCTTMGCTTCGATGTGCTTTGTCATTTTCAAGTTGGCAACTGGAATTATTTTAAATATACTATATTAAAAACAGCTTGCTTCTACTTTATTAACCCTAATTATCCCTTTCTTTATTCACTCGTCTATTCATTCATTCATAATCTATCCATAAATTATTAATTCATTATACAATCCAGGTATATTATCAACCATTTGTACAGGGAGTTATACTTCGGTGGTATCCACCATTAAGTGCGCTATTGGTTCTGATCAAGTCTTATTGTTTATTGCGGCTTTTTTTGGTTTTGTTCTCTTACGTCCTTTCAGGGCTAATGTGAAGTGTACGTAAGTAAAAAGGTAAGCGAAGATCTCCGCGGCTTAATGACTGACAGCAGATTATTTAGTATCTTGATTCACGACTGTGTTCTATAGTTCTGATATTGCGCGTCTTATATATAGTTTGAGGGCTAGATGAGACAACTTTTTCCTGATTCAAGAATTCTACTTTCAGAATACGTTTCCTCTTTACCTCTGTTATAAAGGTATCCTTGGAAACCATATGTAAGGCGTGGCGGTTTYGGCAAACGCCATAATTCCTGGATTTTACTCCAATTTGGYRTATACAATTGTAGACTTGTACACTTAAAACGTGTACGATTTGCTGTAGCTTTGGCGGAATGATCTTCAACGCCTGAGAAAAGAAGAAGAAAAGAAATGTCAACTATATATGTAGTTTTACGTGAATGAAATTCCAGTTTGAGCAAGTTGTAATTACCTTTCCTACTCTGTGWACTGATGTAGAAGACATCATACCGCGGGTAGTACAACTTGATGACAACCACAGCTGTCGTTGTTCCACCCACGATCACTGCAGCTATGCAGGAGTAGATGTTAAAAATGTAGTACGCAACAATTTCGGGAATCATATTGAATATGAAGATTGAAGATATAATATCTTGTTTTTAAGGCAAGCCATGATAGTGCTTGTCTAAGTAAAGCTTGTAATTGCTAAACTGAATCACTGACGTCAAATGTTTTTGTGATGTCATGTTCGATGCGTGACGTCATAGCATTTCGCGAGCGCTCTACTGTTTAGGATATAAAAGGGATTTTAAAACAATGTTTCAAAAAACATTTCTGAATTTCATTTATCGGAGTTTTGCTGTAGTTTAATTGGATTTATAATGTGAAAACTCTTTTTGTTTTCCTCTAGGCATCCTGTGTCCTGTATGACCGTTTTGTACTGGACCTGGCCCATAATGCATTCCTGACTGTCATTTCGACGGGCGCGCGTGTTTAAAAAGTCGAAAACGTGTGAGTCGATAATGTTGACTTCATATTTGCTTTTTCTGTGTCACTTTCAGCAACATGTGAAATTCATATGTTTGTGTACTGGGATGATGCACTGTCAGTAATTTTCGAGGCGTTTTGTCGAGATTTCAAAGGAAAATTGCCAATGTTTTGGTGACAGTGGTTTTTTTGAGTGGAAGTTTTAATGTTATTCGGTCCGTGAATTTTCCAGAAAAAAATAATCCCTGGATTTAACTTTTTAGCTATCTGTCAATCAGTGATGATCAGTTGATCGACACACCCTATGTGCTGGTCCCATCTATCTCCAAATTTTAAAGCTTCTTTGAAGCACTGACACTAATTGCGAACGTGACTGAGTCACAGGTTTTTAGGGTAAGCAGCCTCGTCGTCCCCCCCTGGGATTTTATTGATAAAGTTCTCTAAGATGTGTCTAGAGAATGGAGAACAAAAGAAAAACGCAATTACACTGGACATCTCCTAGTGCAGGCCTTACTTATATTTATATATGTTTTTTAGCCTTTAGATTGTATTTTGATGTATCTTGAGCGATAAATCAGAAAATTTGAGCTACAAACAAACACGTTAAAGTGTCACACGTTACGCAATCGAAACGTTCTGCGCATTCTCTCTTGACTTCATTCTTTGCCACAGGGATCCCATTATTCTATTGAATTTTTTTTACACAATTCTTTCGCCTTCAAATAAAAACGAACCTAATTTTCGACAGAAATTTTTTTACGGAGTTTAACTTCTTAATATTTTTGGTTTCCATAGATTTCTTTTAAGTAAATAAAACTAATATTTGCTATTTTACTGGCTTGCACTAGCCACATGCAGTCATAGACTGCGTATTTTTAGTTTAGGCTCTTATAATAAACTCGTTAGAAAACACGTCCATTTGCGTACTGGGTTTGATATTACAGTATTTTCAAATTTAGCCTTACAATGTCTTCCGTTATAATTTTGCTGCGGCGCAGAGAATAAAGACCCCAAACGCGTTTCATTTCGTCTTGTGTGACTATTTTAGCTTTAGATATGTCTTGTGTCTTGATTCTACAGCAGCGCAAATAAATAAAGATTCGTTAAACGCGTTTCCTTGCGTATTGTGTGGTTATTTTAGCTTTAGATGCGTCTTTTGTCTTGATTGTACATGAAATAAAGATGTCAGTTGTCAAGTCTCTTGTGTATTGCCTTTTGTTTTCATGAATTGTTCTGGTCTACTATTAGTCAATAAATAGACACTAATCTTTACTGTTTATTTTGATCGTAATTCACGTTAGAAGTGTGATGACTCTAGTAGACAACATAAATGGGTCCAAATTTCCACTGTTTTTGAGCGTCGTTTTCCGATGTATACATACTGTGACGTCATAATGAAATAGTGCAATTACTTACTTACAAAATAGTTACTTACACAATAGTTACTAATAGTATAAAATTATAAGGAGGATAGAAGTACGAAGGCAAACAATAGTTTGAAGTGATATGGTAGGTTAGGGAGACAATATGAGTTTAATTTAAGGAGCTTAAATTAAATTTGATTTAAGGAGATTATTTCTGCGCAATATTTTTAAAACCCTCGCCCTCCGACCCCGGGGAATACCGGGGAATTTAACGGTTGTGTGGTGTTAAGATAAGACATTTCCCCCGGTAGTTTTTTTTTMGGGGGGGYYGGGGGGGGGCACATTCATTGTTAAATTTCCCGCTACTATTGCCCCGCAATTTTGGTAGTAGTAAATAACAAAACAAAGACCTTTCAATCAAATGCGACTGTACAAACTAAATAGTATTTAGTAAATCGTGCATGCGGTACATAAATTAAGTAATGGTCCGAGTAAGAAGCAGGCAAGCAAACGGCAATGGAATGCATGAAGGTGCTAATTGTGTATTGTATAGTGCTAATTGTGTATTGTATAATCCATCCATCTCATTGGTTAAAACATTAAAATTTGACATAATTTCAAAAGTAATCGCATTTTTTAACATTTTATTTAATATCTGATTCTAACTTTATAAAAGCTTTCCTTAGCTTTGATATTAATAGGAATTCTATGTGGGGAACATAGCAAATTAGAAGCATCTTTTGGCTATTGTTTTMWGTGCTTATGATTGGACAAGATCTTTTAATACAAAAGAAACTTTGTTTCAAAACAGAGTTTATCCACATTTTCTTTTAAAAATGTGTTATGCATAGGTTGATATATAATCAGTGTGAAAACCAAGACATTCGTATGTGGGGAAGTTGCAATTGCCGCAGAACAATAGAAGTTTGCCTTCTTTTTGCGCGCATTGTTACTTAAATTGATACAAATGAAGCATTCAATACCGTTTTGCTTCAAGTCCACTTTTAGTTACAAATTACTAAAGTTGCACGGATTAAGTGCGATCACTCTACACATTATTTTTATTTTACAAAAGTAGCAATTTTTGTGTAATCACACCACAAAAGCCATTAAGATCTTTCTACCAAGGAATAGCACCCCCATCATAGTTAAAGAACATTCCACTTTTAGTCATATCTAAAGACCCTATCACATTCATCATGCCTGAGACACTCTCTTGAGTTGTTATTAGAGCATTAGGCCCACCATTAGGGGTCTGGACCCAGCCTGGATTCATAACAATCGCACAAATACCCAAATCCTGTAAGTCAATGCTAAGTGATTTGGTAATCACATTCAGAGCTGCCTTGCTGGCACGCGATGGATACAGTTTACCAGATGTATTGCCACTGACAGATGCTGTCTTCGCCGATATATTAACGATTACAGAATTACAATTTGTATCTGCATTTGTCCTCATTTTTCCAGCTGTCTTCAAAAAGGGAATCATCGTCTGTACAATCATCAGAGGGGCAACGGTGTTCACACGGAAGGCATTCATCATTTGCTCTGGTYTAACACTCTCCACAGTCACTGAAGCAGTAACTCCAGCGTTATTTATGACTAAATTCAAACCTTCATCTTGCAAAACTCTCCCAACGTAAGAATAAACATTCTTGAGATCTTCATCACTGCTAACATCGAGTTGTAACACGTGCAAATTCGAGTTGAATTCGGCTAGTTTTGTAAGCTCTTCTGAGCTTTTTGTACTTGGTGATCGACATGTTGCAAATAAGTGTAGTGGTGGTTGTGGCAGGTTGAGAAATTGCTTAACAAATTCTATTCCTATACCTCTATTACATCCAGTGATGAACACGTTCCGATAGAAGCGCGCCATGTTGATTGAGCAGCCAGAGTGCCTGGGGAGAGGGGAGGGGAAAACAAAAGGTGTTTATGCACAGGGAGCCCAAGCAACGATTCTAAAAACGGCTTAGATGTAAAAAATGCGTTTTAAAAATCTCTCCTCCCTATGTACATAGAGTGACTTTTTTGAAAACATTTTTTCGATAATTTTAAGTATAGAGTGACTCTATGTATAGAAAATTTCATAAAAACTAAAAAAGTGCTCAATGACAATATAAAAGCGGGAGCTGTATAAATACTCTATATAGACAGGGAGGACAGATTTTTAAAACCATTTGTGCTGGCTTCGCATCCCCCAACACAAAAATAGGTGCAAGACTAGTTGTAGGTCTATTAGACAAATATTTGAATCCCTACAATATTACATGATGTTGCATGTTAAAGTTGTGTGAAAATTTTTAGTTTCTTTATTTCACAAGTACAAGCATCACAAACACAAATGTGATAGATTTACTGAACAGAAGGATGCAGTGAACTTATTTGGCTTTTTCATCTTGGTATTGATAGTGCAGTTTGGCTACATCTGTCTGTGACACTTTAATCCATCCTGTCTCCTTCATGTGATATACTAAATGACAACAAAAATGTGCATTAAAATATCAAGACTTAAAACAATGTTTAAAGGGCCTTGTCTACTTCTCTATAAGTACCATACATAGGAAAATGACTTGGATGAGGTTGAAGAATCGAAATTTAATTTCCAAAGAGATTGTCCTTAACTGATACATATGTTTAGGAAGTTATAGATTGATAAAACAGATCTACATGTAAATGAATTTACCAGTATATGGATCTGAATAAATCCAAACTTTTAGATTTTCAGGAAATGTGTATCTGCATTTTCTAGATAGTTCAGGAATACATGTATACTAGATTTATTATACAAAGTGCATATAAAGGATTTTTATTTTTTTTTTTTTTTAGAATTATTCCTGATAAAACACTCACTCTCATGTTTTAAACTATACATAATAAACTGAACATGGTTGGTTGGAGATATTCATTTTATGTTTTTTTGTTCAACTGATGTCTCACTTGTTTGTCTTGCTCACTAGGAAGATATTGTACTTACAATTAACAACCCCTCCACTGTAAGCATCTCTGTGAGTAGCATGGTAGATAGACCTCATTCCCAAGTCATAAGCATCTTCAGGTGACATGTCGTACTTATATCCACTATCTAATACACCATACGCATATGTAGCACCAGATCCCACACAGAACATATTATTACTTAGTCTTGTACCATCACTGTCTACATAGTATAGACCAGGACCCTAAAAATCATTGATTTAATTTTTTAGTTAAAACAAATGCTCTAATTGGCTGATGTCTGGTATCTATTAGAGAACAGAGACATAGCACAGGGATAGAAAACTTTATAAAAGAAAAATGGCGGGAACTAGCGGTAAACTAGTGTGAGCTGCGTCGGTGTTTAAAAGAAACAGTTGTGCAAAAAGATAAATTTAACACCGTAAAAAAAGTATGTGAAGTAACTTTACTATTTATCTTTTTTGACGAAATCCAATTTTTTATGAGCTCTCAAAGTTGATCATAAGTGTTTTGATGACGTAGTCATCTGGAACAACTGAAGTGTCAATAAGTGTCAACAAACCAACATCAGAGAACTTTGAGTGCAATAGAGAATAATACCATGATCACCTCGGATTCCATTGTCTTCCGAGGGGTTTACAAACCCGAATTTCCCTCATGTTATTCATGAGGAAAATTGGAGTTCCTTTGCCTTCTATACTTCCCTAATGCCTTGCACAATGAAAATATAGTAGACTAGATACCCCTCAAAAGAATTTCTACTGAAAACAGGTCTCCTACACCATATGGCACTAGCATGTCTTGCATGTGGGACATTGTTTACCTAACTGCGCATGCCTGTGCACTTAGTTAAAAAAAACGAAAATGTCTATGACAGATTTATTCGCAGTCACATAAAAAATATAATGAAAAATCACTTGTTTAAAATCGTTTGCTATAGCACCACACTTTTGCCAAATCGAAATGAAGCATCGAAAGAAATAGCGTTCAATACAGCAAAACTGATATAATCAATTTTAARTCAWTMAACTTAGCTGTCTGTTCTAAACGAAAACCTCTCAGACATGTTGTTTGAGCATTGTATACGAATTTTAATTCTGCGATATAAATATTATCTTTGGTGCCCTAAGGGACTACAAAACAAGTGCATGAAATAGTACTAACGAACAAATGTTGAATCAATTACACAATGAAGACAAAGTAATGTGTTTGAAAACTATTSTTTGATTACATCATTATCAAGCCTAGGTGTCCTAGGTGTACAATACGCTAAAGAGCTAGTTATGCATTTTGGCGGCGTTGTTTACGCTTCRTTGACTAGAAAACTGAACATGATATCAAAGATGTTTCCTTACTTCCTCGCCGATAATAGTATTACAAAGTAATACCATGTCACTCGTGAAATTAGTGATTAAATTTCCCCGATACCTCGGGAAAATTTGTAAAAGTCCCTCGGGCTGCGCCCTCGGGACTTCCACAAATTTTCCCTTGGTTTCGGGGAAATTTAATCACTAATTTCCCTCGTTCCATGGTATTACTTATAAGAGTACAGCTATGTCTTGCCGAGATTCAACTGTTTACACGAACCATCATAGTKTTCTCGATCAAACATGAAAAAGCTCAGCTTTTACTCAGCTTTTTTAGCACAGGATGCCCAAACGAAACTTACAATGCAATTTCAAGAATTTTAATTTGGTGACTTCCATACTCCAAAAATTATTATTGACGACTTAAACTTTAACTCAAAACAATATTTGGCCAGGGTGCATAGACACMTTGTGTCTCCTGGGCTTGTATCTCTTGTGCCCTCCATCTCCCCTATGTTTATAGCAGAGAGCAGAGCCTGTTTCCTATTTCTTAAATAAATGATAAGCCAGAGAAAGCAGTTAGGGTTATATCCATATACAAATCTATAATGGCTAAAATCCTTGCTCTTTTGTATCAATCCCTTTCATTAAACACAAAGATAGATATTCAATTGATTAATATATTTCTGGACATTTGATTATTTAAACCATTTCTGAAATACTTCAAGCCAGCTGTCACAGTTTTGTAAAACATTAGTATTCTTATGCACCTACATGTATCAATGTCTTGCCCCAACAGGGGGGAGTGCGGGCAAACCCACAGGCTATTGACATTTTTCATAATTTTTTGTCAATAGTCCCCATTCTGGGGGTTTATGTTCATGTCAAATATTTGTCAAATACCCCCATGTTGTAACTGAATAAACTGTGAGTGAAACGTTGTATTTAGTCTATCTGAAACTTCATGAAAGCATCAGCTATATTTCATTAGACTACTGTTCTAGTTTTATTAAAAACACAGGGTGTGATAGATTTTTTAAAAATCCATTGATCATAACTGTATGTATTAAAATTCTTGACACGCCAGGTGTCATCATTTATACTTGAAGAATCTTAATACCTTATTCGCAACCTCTTGCCACCTTTCAACCATTTTAGAACATTTGCGGCTCTAGCTCTCCTCGGTCAAAATGTCATTTAACCCTACCCAGGGGGAAACCCTGTTTCAATAAAATTCGAGTTGCCCCAGTCTGGGTAACGTTTTATTTTCAATAGTCCGTGTATGCCTGCACTCCCCCCATTGGGGTAAGACATTCATAGGTGCATAAAAGATAATGATGAATTCTGATCAAGATTTGCCAAGCAATCAGGGCTTGAAATAACGGCTGGACATATGCAGGACAAAATGCCCTTCCAAATTCATTTTGTCCTTCCAAATTCATTATATTTCGTTGATTTTCAGACCTGTAATTAAAAATCAATTTTTTTATCGGCAAGTATTTTGTTTGCGATAAAATTCGAAGTGATTACTAAGCAAGAGATGAACTTTCCAAATACATAAAAACTATTCTGGGCAAATCACTCTCAGTTGCATGGAAATGAATACTTCTGGCGATAATAATCAGTTGAAACGCCAAATGTTTTAAACAAATGAAATTCATTTACATTGCCTAAAATTTTCAAAGAAATTTTATTTTGATTAGCTGTTTATAAGCTTTGAAAAATGTTTGATTAATAAACTAGAAACAATTAGGTAGAAGTAACTGCGGATATAAGGAAGAAGTAACTGGAAATAGAATACAAGGCAGGAGTACTTCCTCTGGTATCCAGTTACTGCACGTGGTACAAAAGAACCAAGATGAGGTGCTGTGCATGAAGCTCAGTCATTAGTGAAAAAATAAAGCCCAGTCAATTGTGAAAAACTTTTCACTAATGACTGAGCTTTATGCACAGCGCCTTGTCTTGATTCCTTTGTGCGTGACTACTGAGGCAAAATTTGTCGGCTTTTTGTCCTTTCAAAATCTGATTTGTGGTCATCTAGAAAATTAATTTGGAAGGTCATTGTCCTTTGACTGGCCGTTATTCTGATCCCTGAAACAAATATCTTAAACATTGTACCTTCTTGTCCCATCCACAAATCATTGTTCCCTGAAACAAAGAAATGAATTAAGGTTCAAGGTTTGCAAGAATTATTTATACATTTCAACAATATCTTTGGTACCCACAGTAGACATGATCTCCTGACTATTATGTTAATGTTGCAGAAGAGCATGGACAAAGTATTTGTTAAAATACATGATGGATTTCACAGGGCAGCTGTGTAAACTTAGCTATATTCCAAAGGTTTATTTTTAAACAAATAAATTGAAAATAACTCAAACCTTACCATTGAAAGACCCATGCCTTTATAACTGTACACCATGTTTGCGAGAATCTTAGATGCTGCAGCAACAGAGATACGTTCTTTATTACGTAGTTCATAGATTCTACAAGATGTCATACATGTAAATGTTAACAATGAGCTAACTTTTCACCATTCCAACTACTTTGTTAACATCTTCTTTGCTATTATTTAAATATTTAATAATATGCCTTTTTCTTGTTCAAAGCAAACAATGCTGCTTTAGGTGACAACAGTCTCTCGTGAGCATACAATCATGTACACCTTTCCATAAACAAAAGAAAGCACAAAAAAATGTTGTYATTACAATGGTCCTATAAATTTGCATTTTGTCCACTTCTGTATTCCCAGAAGGTTCAAACTCTTGCTCAGGCTAAGCCTTAAATCGGAGAAGATTCAAATTTCTAGAGCTATTGTAATTTCAAAATTTTTTTCATGATTTCTTTTGTTCTCTACACAAATGAGTCTGTTGTCTACAAAACAGTGGCCGCTTGCATTGAACTGGAAAAAGGCTTATTTTAAACAGTGAACTGGTGAATTAATTTTTTCACTTCAGTTGAACGTATTTTTCTGTGRAAATTTGAGTGCAATGGAATCGAAATTTGCGAYGTAGTTGGAGTTCAAAAATACGCGCGAAGCGCTATTTATTACGATCGAAACACCTTAAGCATAAATCTACCAAGTTCAGATCTACTAGCAATATTTGATGCTTTTCTATATTTATACCTACTAGATAGTACTTACAAATTAAGCACAAAATGTACTTTTTCTATCTGTAATTTATCCCACTGATCAAAATTTTGTTTCTTATATGAACCCCAAACTTAACTACCATATGTATAAATTGGGGCAATTGATTGATAAAAAAGTAGAACTAATGCTTGCCTAGACAATGGCTAACCCAACTAATTATCGACAATTCTACCTGCACTGCTTAGCAAGAAGTCGTTCCCAGAAAGAGCAGTCTGCAGCTCCTCCAGCCATTGTACCCAGTAGATAAGGATTGATTTCGATCACCTTTTTGACAGTTTGTGATGCTAAAAATAAACATGATTTTATCAAAAACACACCCACAATTGAACATCAAATAAAACTAGAGCTAATGGAGTGTAAAGTCAGGCTAGCTAGCCTATGTGTTCACAGCGTAACATGGCAATATTGAGATGACACTTGGGATGCAAGATAACTGCTAAGGGCCATGATATGTATTGTAAAGTAATTTTAGCATAATATTGGATCATAGTRTAGGATTCCAGGTGTGATAGTGCCAAAGATGTTATTTTTTTTGATTTTCAAATTTGTTGTATATATTTATGTATCAAATATGTTTTATTGTAAGACTTGTTATTGTAAATAAAAAGATAATCCTACATTAAAATTGATGTAAGTTGCTCTTCATATAGTCGGTCAGTCCAAAAAATCAATCAATCAATCAGTCAATCAATCAATCAAAAATTGCTGTCCATTGGTGCCAATATTTTCTGGAACTACTCAATGTCATTATTATCAAGCAGTAGAGCTCACCTATGTATGACCCAGCTGTTGCTCTCGAGTCAACAGCCACTATAACACCATGCTTGAACTTATAGGCCATTGTTGTTGTTCCATGATCAAAGTGGATTTTTATATCACTATCACCATTAGTGAACGGTTTTAGAAATTCTACTGGCTAGAAATTGTAATAAGAAAAAAATTAATAATGCTATAATCATATAATGATCATAAGTTTGGGGTGCAAGTGGTACTGAATAAGTCTATTTATCATATACTGTAATTATCTATGAAATACACCTTATTCCAAAATGGCTGACTAGCCCTTGATGTCTCTTTTTAATAAAATTATTCTTTTGTCTTTGAGCTTGAGCGACTTTAAAAGAAAAGAACAAGTTCATGAAAACGAGACATCAAGGGCTAGTCAGCCATTTTGGATTAAGGTGTATGCCTTCCATTTTGTAAACTTAATATTTTCACTGTGAAAATAACACATTCCGGGTTTCTCTATATAGTGGAAGTAAGAAAATTTCACAACAGAATTTGCTTTCAATACAATTATATGATAAATAGAATATTACATGTTCGTTTGGAGATATGAATTTTATCTTCTTGTGTTGAAAATCTCGTTCGCTATGCTCACTGGTGAGAGATCTTTTCAACACTCCAAGATAAAATCCGTATCTCCTTACGCCCATGTACTATCCTCTATTTATSAGATAATTTGAAATATGTATTTCTCCATTGATATGATATATAATAAAGCTTTCACCATTTTAGGCTAAAATGCTAAAAACAGGTTCTTATTTTGAAAAAAAAGGAAAAATAATCTTCTCAAAATATAGAAAAACATTTTCTCAAAAATATATTTATAACACAGTCTGTACACATTGATTATAGCAGTTACAGCATAGTTACATAAAACTAGTCAGTGAACATTTCTAAAGAGGAACTTCATAATGTCATGTTTTTTTGTATACATGATTTATTAGGAATTATAGTGAAGGTTACAGAATAGGTTTTGATTTTAACAGTAGTGTAGTATTTATCTTACTGAAGCCTCCAAGAATACTGTTATTAGACATAAAAGACCACATCATTTAAAAATTCTTACTTTTCTTCTTGAACAAAAGTTAAGAACCTAATTAAGAACCTAGTTAGCCTAATTTTACATTAAATACCATTTATATAAGAAACTGTTTAGGCTATAACTTGAAAAAATCTAGGTTCTTATACGCTGGTTTTTACTGTAGTGAAAATAATGAAAATGACACATTCGAGGTTTCTCTATATAGTGGAATTATTTGCTTTCATATACAATTATATAATAAATAGAATATTACATGTTCACTTGGAGATACGAATTTTAATTCTTGTGTTGAAAATCTCTCACTTGTTTGCTATGCCACCTCGTAAGAGATCTTTTCAACACTTCAAGATAAAATCCTTATCTTGACACGCCCATAATATTCACTATTTATGTCAGAAATAGTTTAATGACCACCCCAGCTAAACAATGTACAAACTAATTAATAGTTGAAATCTGTGAAACAAATATTAATACTAATTTCTACTAAATGGTGTTTTTTACACAATTAAGTGCGTTCACAGTATTATATAATATTGTTGATTACATTTGTGCAATTTGATTGGCTTAGTGGATTGGTATTTATCCTTAAAATTACACAATTTTTCAACAATTTTATAAACAAATAAATGCTTTGTACATGGAATTTGGGATAAATACCACATGTGATATTTCAAAATAAACCAACACATTTTAAAGATTTTTTGTTTTTTATATCGTTCGAAAGATCATTTGCAGTTCTAGGTATTCAGTAAAATTTTGGAAAGATATGGAGTTTACAACAAATGTGATTGTGCTCAAAAGGTTTTTTATTCTTAATTGATTTAGTTGGATTAATGGAGTTGATGATAGCTCACATTAAACAACGAAATTGAAGATGAGGTCTATAATACCCAGCGTGTAGAATAAGTCGATTTAAGCATGCCGTTATATTCAAATACGACAAAATACAAGAACATGTCTATGGATTGCCAATGTAAAGGACAAAATAAGCAGTAAATTCGAGAAATAATGCCGACCCAGAAGTTTCCATACAGCTTAGTAAGTCCGCATCAAGAGTTGTACCAGCACTATCAACCGCATGCTGACTCTCGTTTGTGATATTCTGCTTCTTTCTTCCTCACTTCTCCTGGTATTAATTTAGTTTATGATTTCTCACTTTTCGATTTCAAACAGTCAAAATCTTCGAGAATAGGAWTCAACTATAAAGACCTACATTGTATACATTACATTATTTACGAGTAAGCATACCCTTGGAAAAATCTTTTTTGATCACAATCGTGGTTTATACTCTCATAAACCACACTTTTTTGTCCAATCAGAGCGCGCGTTAGAATTCATCTAAGGTATCGGCACCTATTCTCAGACACTTTCACTAAAGTTGAAAATATTGTGCRTTTTCTATCATTTAGAACTGCAAACTTACCTTTTAGAGCATCTCTAATGCTTGTGTAATAACATTTTAGAATATCATGTTATATAAATAAACTAGAGGACTTTTTAAGCGAATTCAGGCCTATACTTCATGAACCTATTCTCAGGCTGTGTAACCTATTCTCGGGCAGTTGTTACCTATTGTCGGGAAACTCAAAAAACTTAAAGAAAATGCATCAAAATTGACTAAAACACACTAAATATCATTGTAGTTGTATGAGGCAATARTTCAGCTTAATATCAACGCAATTTAAGAAGTGATTCTATCAATTACCGAGCAACGAAAAGCCACTTCTGGTTTAACAAACATGTACGTAACAATTGTTCAGAAACAAGCATTTCGTTCAAATGCTGAGAACAGGTTCCATCAACAGCATTCGTTAAGCATGTATGGAGAGTGGTTTCTGCAAGTAGAATAGGACCGAAAGCGTGGGAACAAAATGGCAGTCCGTTTTGACAAGGGAAGAATTTCAAGAAAATCTGACAGGATTTCGCACAAGATTTTTTACAATATTTGAACTTTTACAATTTTTTTCAAAACGGCAGAGTCACGTCTGTTTGTGGTATCGTTTTAAAAGGTGAAATCTGTTGTATTTTTCACAAAAACGATTGTCATCGGTGAATCGCTGACATCGATCTGCACATTTTAGATTGATAAGTTTTTAGCTTTTCTCCGTTTAAATGCGACTTTTTTCTCTTGCCCGAGAATAGGTTCTGCCCGATAATAGGTGCCAATACCTTAATAATTTAAATTAACTATTAAAATTATACGCTCTAAGTTAAGCTATCTCAGTCTGAAAAAAGAAAAGATCCACAACCACGAATAGCAATATTACCCTTGAAAAAACAATGCCATTTTGAATTAGGCTTACTAGCTGTATCATAAATCCGAAGCCATCGTGCAAATTTCCTCGAGGATGAAAGCCAGTGACAAAGCACTTTTGTCAAAACCTGAATTCACAACTTACATCATATCCTGTGGGAACAGCAAACTTATTTAAAAAGTCGGGAGTTGTATCATTCTGAAAATGATGCAAATTTGAAGATCTGGGCTTTTTAAAAACGTCATCTATGGAAAAAGTCTGGTAACACATCGCAAGTGATTGAGCCGCCATCTTGAATCTCCCAACTCTGTTCAGATTCCCCAGTCTCCAGCTCGCCTTAAAAGGAGACTCTTCCACAGTCCCCTTAAGGTGAATTAAATTTATTTTTAATTTAAATTAAAAGCACAGGGGGCCCAGGCTCAATAGTTGTGTTGCTTTCACGGCGGTGTCAAAGTATAAATTGCGTGGTTTGCGGTTCGAGCCCTCATGAAGCCGTAAATTTTTTCTACTTCATTTCTTGAGACTTTTCAAGACTTTCTCTTTCTTTTCTTTTTTCTTTAATTATAAACAGTTTTATGAATAAAGATTGATTTTAAAAGCCACTTTATATTTATATTTTTTTAATTTTCGAAATAAAGTGTGTACATATACGTTCTAATGATCCTGGGGGGGACTCCATAATATCAAAGGGCGGGGGTCCTCGGCGTCCCTTTTAGGGTTTGAAATCAGTATTTTGGTCCCGCTTAGGGTGATCATGACAAGAATTCCTACTAACTGAGTTTTGTGGTCCCTTTTAGGGTATACGGCGACCCTAAGCAGTCATAAAATGGCAACGTCGTCATAAACTCAATACGAGCCGACGGTCATATTGTGTAAAAACACAAATAAAATCGGTAAACCAAAACAAATGACCTGTTATTGATTGGTCCCTTTTAGGGTTGAAATTTCAGCACTGCCACGCCCATCATCTCACAATAGAGGTMCCTTTTAGGGGTCATTTTCACAATCTCCGCCGAGGACCCCCGCCCTTTGATATTAGGGAGTCCCCCCCGGGCTAACGATGTTCCTTTTGTCATTGACATATATCTTACTGTTTGTAGACTATTAAGAAATTAAAATGCACTATTTTAAGTAAGAACTTCTCTCCATAAAATCAAATACATCTAAACTTCGAAAAGTGTTTCTAAGTTTGCGTATCGCAGCATTTCACTTCCGATAGGCATCGCTAGTTACATGGGCTTCCTGTGGAAGACCATGTCTTAAAAAATGCCGCTGATTTTTTGGCTTCAAAGTGGTAGCGCCCGCGATTTCGACAGTCTGCAGTCTTCGTTTCAAAAGCGATCGGCCTCGTGGTAAAAACTAGTAGCTTCGACGACCTTGAGGAGTTGACAATGAAGGAAATCAAAACTAGAAGGGGGGTTTAGATAACGGCCTATTAAGCCATTATCTTGCTATATATGACAAAACATTTTAAGCCATTAACTTGTTCGGTTAAATTAATTTTAATATAATATAAGAATACAGCCTTTTGCACAAATTATGAGACATTTTTATATATATAAATATACCTAACCAAATATCAAAAACACCCAAGAAATTATGGGATACCGTCGCTGATATTTTGTCTGTAACAACCTGATGCTAGGCAATCATGACAAAATATAATAGAGATATACCATAATTTCTGGGGTGTTTTTGATATTTGGTTAGGTATATTTATATATATAAAAATGTCTCATAATTTGTGCAAAAGGCTGTAT